GTGAACATCAAGTATAAATTGTTACATTGTTTTTTTAAAGCGCTGGCATGAGACCTGCTTCAGCATTTCAGTTTTCTCACTCTCTCCTGTGCCGCCCATTTTGTGACCATGGAGCACCACTGCGACTTGCAAATACTGTTAATATATGAACTGGAGAGCTGTTAGTTTGTTTTCAGCTGACAGTGAACAAATCCTCACATTTAACAGTGGTAACAATTAAACTTACTAAGATTAACGACAGTGTGAGTGGACAGAGCATGTTTTTGTACCTGCAGAGCTCCAGAGCTACTGTTTAGTCACGTTTTGCAACCATGGAGCACCAGTACGACTTGCGACATGAACTGAGAGGTGTGAAGCAAGGTTTATGCTTCTGCACACCTACAACACAGAGGGCTTTGCGGAGGCGTTGCATCCCTCTGCGACCAACGCAGAGACGTGACATGCATCTCCAAAAAATCATAACCACGCGTCGAGGCATCGCGGACTCAACGCAGACCGCAAGAGCTATATCATTTCCGGCATTTTGCAAGGTTTCACTTCCTGCTGTAGTACCACAACACCGCCTCGAGCCATTCAACGGGCGTACAGACCATCGGCGCAGTCGCCTCTCTCTTAGTCGTCGTCGTAACATTTGTAGTAAGAGCATTTGTTGTTCAATGTCAATCAATTCGAGCTCCAGCAACAGTCTTTCTCTCTCAGTCGCCATATTCACTGTGACTAGAGCAAAGCCGGAAGATAAACAAACAATGAACAAGCAACGACCATAGACGTCACAGATTCTAGGTAGGTATATAAAAGAACACCGCACCCGAAGCGCTTTGGCGGGGAATTGCATAGCGACATAGACCAACAGGACATAGAACTATGATAGGCACACAGTAACTGCGGAGCAACTGCGTGCACGTTGCGTCGAGTGTACGCAGAAGCATAAAGAAACTTTAAGACTGTTTACTGTTCATAATGAATAAAGTCTCACGTTGAAAGGCACCATGGCAACAGTTTAACATTCTGCTAACTGCTAATCAGAAGCATAAAGTTCACCACAAAACATCAGCACTTCCGGTCCAAGCCAATCGGGGTGCTTCAAATTAAAAGGAACAGTGCTTTGCTTTGATTTATTTGATTATAGCAATACTTTATTTAGCTCTATTTAGCTTAATTGTAACCGTGGTTTATTTAGTAGTTTACTATTTAAGTAGTATACAGCACTTGAGACCAGGTTTTATATTACATATTGCGATGTAGCCTAAATATAATTTGATATTTTTAAGCCATATTTCCCAGCCCTAGTTAGATCCAGCTCTCGTTCCTCTGCGGCGCCAGCCTCTTGCCCAAATATGGTCACTTCTGGCTCCAAACAACCAAGATGGCAATGGCGAAAATGCTGAACTCAAGGATTCAAAACAGGAGTCCACACACCAACAGGTGATGTCACAGTAGCTATGTTGATTATTTATAGAGTCTGTGGTCAGGATGATTTTAATCTACTTTAAAGGTAGGGTCTGGAGGATTTTCCAGTTGCTGTTTGTAAACACACATTCAAATTTGGCCCCTCCTATCAGGTTCAACTCTCCCGGGTGTACGGAGCCCGGAGGTACGGAAGAAGGCTTCACAGAAGAGGTTCAGGCAAAGCTCGCGCTGGTGCACGCTTGGACACGCTCGGGCACGGCACCTGCGCTCTCTCATTGGCTGGGGAAATCTCCGCCCAGAAGCGGTCGAGCTCACAAAAACATCAAAATACAGTTAAAGGGCAGGAGCTCTGCAAACAGAGTCACCACCACATGAGTAGAAGCCCATAGGTGATGATTAAGCAGGATTTCATTTGTATATGTCTATATTTTGTTTTGTTTGAAAATCCTCCAGATCCTACCTTTAACCTCTACTTTAATTTCAAAGGAAATGATCTGTTGTCTTCATCTCGCTTTTTGTTTAAAACCAGGTAGACTACGTTTACTACATCAGAAGCGATTCGCATTACTGACATAACGCTGCTGGTGGTTATTTCCACCAGCAGTATTAAAATAACTTTTCATCAGCTCTGCATCAGACAGAACATTTCACTCACCTGCTTCAGTATGTCATCTTGCACTGCAGGTTCATTTAGATCCAAGCCTGGTGAGCTGATTCTCACTTTAATGAAGCTCAAAACGGGACCTGGTATGGAAGACACACACACACACACACACACACACACACACACACACACATATTTCATTATATTCATGAGGACAATCCAAGATAAACAAACTCAGCTGTTGCTCCCAATAGACTGGTGGCTTAACTCAATCAAAGGCTTTAATCAAAACAGAAGAGAAAATGTAAATTAAAAATGTTGCTCACAGATACAGAGGAACGGATGTGCTTCACCACATGGCAGTTCTTCCCATCTACCAGACTGACTTTTTAATAGAGCGGCACATTTTCCACCACTAAGGGCAGTATATGGTGGTTTGCCTGCTCTCCAATATCTAAACGAAGAGTAAGTCTGGTCCGACCACTCCAAGGGGTCTCTGTAGAGGCCAACCCACGCCTTCAAGGTACCGCTTACTTCCTGGACTATCTGCTTTTCCACCTCATTCCTCACACTGGCCAGGTCCGTGTGATAAGTCCTGCAGTAGTCTCGAGCATAAATCCAAGTCATCTTTTGTGCAGTGAGAACATACTGTTCACGACCATGTTTCTTTCCTAAAATGAAATTCAGTAAATAAATCAGAAGTAAACAAATAACTGTTGTTTAGTCGCAGTGTGCAAATGAATGACTCACCATCAAAGCAAATTGCATATCGCTTGATGTAACACACAACTGCATATAATTTCCCCTCTTCATACGCCCCACAGTTGTAGGAACCGATATAGCCCTGAGTGAAATACTCTCGCTCTCCCTCCTTGTAGAAATCTTTGTCCGCCAGAGACCAGTGCCACCTAACGGTCTTTCCTGTCTGAAGTCCGATCCACACGGCATCGTCGTATTTGTCCTGGACAGCTTTAAGAGCTGTTTCCATCTCTCCCATGTCGTCTATGGTGGCCAGGTCGAAACTTTTCTCTCTGCAGTAGCTCTGCGCCTCATACCAGGTTTTTGGCGTACTGACTAAGAAGTACTGATGCTGGGGAACACATGAGGACAGAGAAACCCCTGAGGGAGAAAATGGGAATGAGTGAATTATCCATTTGTCAAGCATATGATGAAGTAAAGTTTTTCAGTGGGAAAATAGAGCAGTGATTCTCAAAATGACGTCTGTGGCACAAGGCAAAACATTCATTAATTTAAATGATCATGATTCAGGTTAAATAACTTAATAAATAAATATATTTAGTGGTGAGGATTGAAGATTTCAACCAGCTGAAACTTCTCCCAATTAGAATTCCTTCAGTGTTCATTGTTGAGGAGGTTTTTTCTCTGAGCTGAATTATCCACAGAGGTCTCTTCAAGCCCGGTCTCTCTCCGAAGTCAACGAAATCTGGCGCATGCGGACGTGGAAAGTCCATCACCAAGCATGTCAATATGTGATGAGGTCGGAGTGAGAATGTTTTGTCTCTTCCTCTCCAAAACAAACAGACCAGGCCATTTAAACCGGTAAAAACAGCTGCTTTATGCAGAGGGGCGTGAAATGTGAATGGATCTATCTGGAACTGCTGTTTGGTTTGTTCGTTCTGGGCTACTGTAGAATTATGGGGGTGCAACATGGCGATCTCTGGAGATCACGACTCCTAAGATAACTTAAGCCCTGTTTCCACCAGACACTGTCAGTATGGTACCTTTGGAACCAACAGTAACCCTTTAGACATGGTACCTAGACCCTAGCACTTCCACCGCAAACAGTACTCTTAAATGTGGGCGGGGTTGTTGTCACTCACTGCTCCGTCCAGCACTCACTGTATTTCCTCATTAAGGCCCTGTGAATTGAGATATTTTTTCTCCGACTCCAGCTGCTGTGAGAGGCAGCAAAACATCCTTTCATTTTATAGTTACAGTAATAAAACTCTCTACGGTATAAACAGTGGTTACAAAACCAGACACAACTCAGCCCTGAGCAGAGTGACCGTCCTCTACTGACCAATCAGACTGCAGTGTTCACAGCTCCACCTTTAAGTACCAGATCTGTGTGCTAGGTACCCCAACAGAGAGGGGACCAAACATGGGGACGGTACGGAACGCTTCCCTTTGTACCATCCACAACTTTTCACAGTGGAAACGGAAAACATGTACCGAACTGAACTGAACTGAACCACTTGGCTGAAAACAGGGCTTAACATATTCTGTCATGTGCTGTCAGTCTCAGCTCATCAGACAAGCTGTGGGATGTGTTGGAAATTAATTTTCCTGACTTGAATAGAAGAAATGACACTGACCTGAAAGAAGCAGAAGCAGAGATTTGATCCTTTCCATAGCTTTTTTAAAGAAAAAAATGTGGGAGAAAAGAAAGACAATTTACTTCTGTATTCTGCAGGACGTTCATCACTGATACAGTTTTCTAAAGCAATACGTGAGTCAGTCAATATGGGACTCAATCAAGGACTAAACCTTCTGTTGGTCCCAACTTCTGTCTGGGCCACATGTCCAACTAACTATCAGCAGTTAACGCTGTTTGAGTTTTTCTACAAGCACCCTGAATTGTTTCCTAAAGGTGTACCTCAGAGCAATTGCACAAGCATGCAGTTAAAACCTTAAAACTCGGACTCTAGGATGATGCTGAATATACTTTAAAATAACCTTGCACATTTAAATATCTGTAAGACATACTTTATATTAAAATGCATCACAAACAGACACAAAGCAAGCAGTGTTTTACACGTGTAATTGCTCAATATAAAAAGAGAGCTTTATGTGGTGAAAACAATGTTTGCAATTTATGTTCCTGAGTGGAAGTCAGTTTAATAAAGTAAACTTTGATTTACCTGCTGCTTGAGGCAGACGTTCCTCTTTTACTCGCATGAAACTGAATGAAGCCTCGACATTCCTTTAAGATTTATGGAAATGCAGGTCACTTATCATGAATGTCGCATGTATAATATTGCGCCTAGAAGCTTTATGGTTTAACCCCAGATATGTGAGGAATATAGACTTACCTCATGTTTGGAGGATCCTGATCTCACTAAGTATCCTTTGCTCTCTCTTTCTCTCTCCCTCTCTCTCTCTCTCTCTCTCTCAGCTCTCCACTGGTATGGAAATTATTCAAATCTTTCAGGAAGGACATAAATATTTGCTTAGAACTTTGGCTTAATCTAAATGACAGCACTCTTGCCCTTCGAGGGTGTTTTGACTGCACCAATTGGTCAGTGTTGTCTATGGTGGAGTCTAAATAAGTGGAGTAGGACTCGCTGACAGACATATTTCAGACTCAGGACTTGCATTATGCCTGGTACACACTACACGCTGGTACTCACCAATTATCCCCGGTTGTCCTTCACGGCATGTGTGATGTCATAGGGTTATTCTTGTCCTATTTTTATTACTTTCACTATTATTTGAGTCACTGTGTCTGTTCATGTGCCAGCTGACATGTTGTTGTAGTCACCTAAAAGCATCAGCAGATGGCAGGAGCTACATTTCTTCCACAGGAAGTTCTGACAAATGTTTCAGAATAAAAGCCTATTTAGAAAATGGAGGGATTCTCTCAGCCGAGGTTATAAGGGCCTTTTAATTTGAAACAAGTGTTGAGTTTGAAATGACGGTGCGATATGTTAACTTTACAAAGACAACGGAGCGGATAAAAAGTAAATATATAAACACACAGAGGGATTAATAAATAACGGACCGTCTATAATGTAGTTTGTTTCAAATGAAGCTGGGAGCCTCTGCAGTTGTGGCGAGTAAAAGCCCCACCGCTATTTGTTAATGTTATTACTTTATGTCCGACCGTGAGGATGTACCATTGTTTGCTAGCTTGATGCTAATGACAGTAACGTTAACTCAGCGGGTTGACAAAGTGCCTCTGCTGTTTTTTTTTTCACACCATCATTTCCCCCTTTTACTCTGTGTGGTAACATCCCTAGAGGAAATATTAAAAACGCTGGGGTGTTGTTGTCAAACAGTTGTCTATGGCAGCAGATCATTCTGTGTTTTTACTGGTCAAAGTGACGGCTGTGATGGGAGAACTGGATCTCAGTGAAGGGCAAGTGGTCCATAACTTTAATTTTGGAGACAAAAAAATGTAGGCTTAGCACCCTATGGTCCATTGCCCAATAGGAAATGTAGAATACTCAAAAGTACTTTTAAAGTAATTGAGTTACTTTTCTCAGGGAGTAACGTTGGAAGTACTTTTAAAGTAATTGAGTTTCTTTACTCAGGGAGTAACACAGTAAAGTAACTGGTTACTTTTTTAAAAAGTAATGCAGCAACGTACTTTGATTACTTTTAAAGTAACCCTTACCCAACACTGGTTCTAAATGACTGGTACGAAGTTGCAGTTACTATAAACCCTGTGTGGGTGGGAACCCTTGCAGAGTCGTAGGGGTCACGTGAGCTCTTAGTTTCAGAGTCGTTAAGGTAACAGTGTGAGTCGTTAGGGTCGGGTGGGACCAGGGGTGAATGGGTGTGAAGTTGTCTGGGGAGGGAACCCAACACTGCATAGCCTGCAACTTCGTACCAGTCATTAAGAACTGAAGAAGCTTCTTGGATCAGAGGCGAAACGTCTTCAAGAAATGCAAGCAAGTCCAGTTGCCTATGATATAGCACTTATGACCTGGATGACTGAGAATCTTCTCTGACAAGCTTTGACTTCTTTAGTTATAACGTCCTTTGAGAAGCTTGTCAGGAAAGAAGTTTTAAAACAGGTGGAGGATCAACTTGATCCTTTTCAGTTTGCATACAGGCCTGGTAGAGGTGTGAAGGACGCTGTGGTCACCATGTTACACTATCTGTAACGGTCCACCAGTTCCCCCCAAGGTTGCTGTCTCTCCCCTCTTCTTTACATCATGTACACCAATGAGTGCAGAAGCAATTATAGGAACAGACACATCTTAAAGTTTGCTGATGATTAGCCTTCCTGAAAGAGAGGAACAGGATCATGGGCCAGTTGTGGATGTTTTTGTGTTTTGGTGTGAGGAGTCTTTCCTCCATTTAAATTTGTCCAAAAGAAAAAACATGGTAATTGACTTTAGGAAGTCGCTACAAGCCTCTGCCAACTGTTGTAAAAGGTGTTGATATTTGTGTAGTTGAGATGATGACGCTCTTTTACAGGAGTTTCATTGATTCTGTTTTAACTTTCTGTATCATTGCTTGGTTTGGAAACATTAATCTGTCTTGTCGAAATCGACTCTAATGTCTCAAAAAAAAAAAAAAATCTCAGGGAGGAGTCAGGACAAGCTTTTGGCCATTTATAACAGGCAGGTACTTAGGAGGGCTAATGCTATACTGGTCTGTCAGGACCACCCACTTCAAGGGGAGTTTGAGCTGCTGTCCTCAGGTCGCCGTTTCAGGGCACCTGTTTGGAAAAGATTTCATACGTCTTTCATTCCAAGTACTATAAATCTGCTCAATAGCAGTTAGCACCTTGTCTGTAGTCCTGCACTATCACAGCACATTTTGCACACCTGTACTCAGGCATTCTTGTACTTGATATGAAATTTCCATTCCCTTGAACTAGTATGTTGTTTTTTTATCTCATGATTTGTATTTATTGTTGTTGCTGTTGTTGATGATGTGGCCCCTTTGTATTGTCTTTTTTATGTAAACTCTTGCTGCACAACAAATTTCCCAGAGGGGACAATAAAGAAACCTAAGCTAACTTAACCGGACTTCACTGCATCACAGGAAGTCTGCAAGGTTTGTCCGCATCCACAATTCATCAAGTCTGCCAGGAACATGAAGTGGTCTTCTTCTCCAGATTTCACTCTGAATATGGATGATGTATAATAATAATAATACATAGTTTTTAAGGCATAATATTTATTTTTAAAGGCATACATTTTTAATTTTTTGATGTGTAAGTTTAGGTCAATTCAATTTCATTTATATAAAACACCGAGTTAATTGACCTTCCTGGCAATCTAGACAGCATACAACACCCTCTGAAAAACTTCCCCCAAACAACTCATTAAAAAAAGAAAAGGAAGAAACCTCAGGAGGAGCAACAGAGGAAAGGCACAAAGAACATTATGTTGGGTTTCTGTTGCATAAATTTCCAATGTTAGTGCTGTTGGGACCAGTCCAGACCAGTTCTGCAAACCACAAATACGATAAATTTGTAGGTTTCATACATATCATGTCAATGTTTCTGAAGTGACGTTGCAAAAAAGCATTGGTTTTTATGGTGACCAGTTTTTCTGCTGAGATAGTGCCATGAAAAGCGATTGATTTTTACTGAGAGGACACACCTGCCAAGCTGCAGACCAACAATCAGGTTGTGCACGCATAAACAGGACCTATATATGGATTAATTGAAGAGATGCACATTGAGGGTGCTGCTCATGGACAGGCGCCCTGAGAAGTTGGGGGTTTGGTGCCTTGTCCAAAGGTGAACTGGCGCCTCTCCAGCTGCCAGTCCATGCTCCATATTTGGTCTGGACGGGGACTTCAAGAGGCGACCCTCCAGTTCCTGTGGACTTTATTCAGATCCCCATTAACATCCACAAAGTCGTCGCTAGTCTTCCTGAGGTCCACTCACAAAACAACATTAAAAGTACATCAATTAAAATCACACAAAATCAATGAGACAATCAACCCAAAATTAGGACAGAAACAGAGTAAGAAAAACAGAATTGTCACAAACTCACTGCACCAAGTAAATAAAATGAAATGAAATAAAATAAGATAAAATAAAACAAAACAAAACAAAAAATAAATAAAATAAAATAATTAGCTACTGCTACAAGCGGCTTTTTGGGCACCAAACATGGGTGTTATTTTGCAACCAGTTGGGATAGTGTTGCGAAAAGTAATTGATTTTTACAAAGAGGAAACACTGGGAATAGTGCCACAAAAAGTGTTTTACTGAAACATTGCTGCGTTGTTTGCCAGGACAGTGCCACGAAAACTGGGTATTTCAAGCCAAAACATGATCTTTCACGCCTAAACCTAACCACACGTTGTTGAAACACAAAGTTTGAATGTATCTGCTTAATTATAATATGTAAATATAATGTATCTGTGTCCATATTTGGTTTATTCTCATCACTTTTACTAGGCTACTAGGTAAAAACAGCTAGCTCCACGTGGACCTTTTAGTGTGATTGTGCTATTATATATATGATTTTAACTTGTTTATGTCAGTTTTTCTATTATTTGTTGCACATCACATTAAAATCTGTAAATGTTTTGTGCATAGAGTACATGTTCACACTGCACACACTATATATGTATATACTATTACATTAGTCTTCAGGTGGTGCTATGAGTTTCATCCACACTCATTCTTTAAATGTGTTATTAAGTATGTACACTGGACCCTTGAAAGTCAGAGTTGCTGTTTGTGTTCTTCTCTCTTCAGCCACTTCGGCGAGTCTCTTTGATAAAGACTCTCCCATCAGGCTGTTTTCGCCACTGGAGTTGAAAAGTACCATTTATACTTTTACTCAGCTCCTGCCTCATCTGGGAAACAAAAACCTTATATTACACTAAATAGTACCGAGTTAACTTCTATTGTATATATTTAAACAGACTGTACGTAAGACTCACCTGCTCCAAGATGTCATCTGGCACTGCAGGGTCATAGAGGTCCAACACTGAGTCCTGTAGGCTTATCTTCACTTTAATGAGCCTCACAATGTGGCCTTGACATGGAAAACACACACACAAAGAATTCTGTTAGTTTGTATTTATATGTTTATATGTTATATTTATTTGTTCACTTAGCACATTTGCATCATGAAAATAACCAGGGCTCTACCAGATCACCAAATAGCTGCTTCAAAGCCTCATTCACCACACTGACATTTAAATTGTAAATCAACATTCAAATGCTGAACAGCTTTTATTGGTTGTTTTTTGTTGCATGCGTGCATTCATTCTTCTTAAACCAGGTATTTCCGCACAACCCAATCAGCAGAATACATGTAAATAAAAATGTAAACAAATTTCTGCAAATTATGGAATAGAAATGTCCATGAATGTTACATCTGTGCATTGTTTTGTAGCGGATACACTGAAGCTTTATGTTTCTCAACAACACTGTGGTTAATGTTTGGTCAGGTTTAGGCACAACAACAGTTAGAAAAGGATCATGTTTTAGCCTAAACACCCACTTCGGTGGCACAAAACCCGCTGGAGCACCCAAGTTCAATGGCTCAAACGGCCCTGCAGCTAAAAACACCTGGATTTGGTGCCACAAGCCGTGGAAATGCCGCAAAGGGTTGCCAAAAAACAACCAGGCTGTTGTTTCCTGGTCTCAAACAGGGGTCTACAGTTAGGCAGGCATCTCACCTACATGTGTGAAGGCACACACCTGTGTTAACAGGCGGAATATTTATTTATTTTTTTTTCATTAAAAAAAGTTAATTCATTCATTTTCCGTGACTGCTTATCCTGTTGGGGGTCGCAGGGGGGCTGGAGCCTATCCCAGCTGACACTGGGCAAAAGGTGGGGTTCACCCTGGACAGGTCACCAGACTATCACAGGGCTGACACATACAGTATGTTTACATGCACAGCCTAATCGAGCTATGCTAAAAATTCGATTTTGGCGTCTAATCGGACTTCTGTCCTTGTCCCAGTTTACAAGCAACTGAGAAAATCAAATACTGACGGGAACGTGTCCTCCTCCTCAACACTAGGTGGCAATATGCGTCGTTTCAGCAGGTTAATACGGCCCCCTTTCCGGTTGACCTATTACGTCACTTAATAATAAACATGCCGGCAGACCGGCATTTTTGAACAACAGCAAGATGGATAATTGTACAGCTTTGTTCATCTCGTACGTAATGTACGCGTTACTGATTGTGCAGATAAGGTGCACGCTATCCCTCGTGGTCATGGTGATTTCGAGAGGCAGACAAGAACGCCGTATGCTGTTGGAGGGCTACAACAATAGCATGTCTTGTCTGTTCCGGGGTCATACGCCAGCGTGAGGGATATGGAGCATGCACACATGCATTGTCTAGTTTAGCTCTGATTAAGGCGTATACATGCCGGAGAAAATCGAATTCCAATCGCATTATCTGGGTGTCTTAATCAGAGTTGGAGAACTCCGATATTAGTCGGAGTAAGCGTTTACATGCACTTCAGTTGTCCAGTTATAGTCGGATTAAGGCAATAATTTGGTTTTTTCAAGTGTCATGTAAACATACTGAAAGAGACAGACAACCATTCACACCCACAGAAGAATTAGAGTCACCAGTTAACCTGCATATCTTTAGACTGTGTGAGGAAACTGGAACACCTGGAGAAAACATGTAAACCCAACACAAAAGGGCTCCCCCACCCTGGGTTCGAACCAGAAACCCTATTGCTGTAAGGTAACAATGCTAACCACTGCACCACCGGCATGGTTAGCAGCATCAGCTTTATTCAGAAACCTGAACAGAAGCTTCAAATGTAAAATAAATGACTTTCAGTACAGCCCTAAAATAACAAACACTATAAGGTATTTGAAAAGTCGTTTGTAAAAAACGGCGGGAACTCTCTACATGAAAACCTTTACTCACTGCAGGAACAGAGGAATGGGTGTCTTTTTCCACATGGCAGCTCTCCCCACCGACCGGAGTCACTCTTCAACATAGCGCCACAGCTCCCGGGAGAAACAGTATATACAGCTTGTCGTACGTTCCAGTATCTCAATGAGGAGTAGCTCTGGTCTGACCACTGCCAGCGGTCTCTGTAGAGGCCAACCCACACCTGCAGGGTACCAGCTAAGTCGTGGATTTTCTGATACTCATTGTCATTCCTTAAACTGGCCAGGTCTGTGTAGTGAGTCCTGCAGTGGTCTCGAGCAACCATCCAATTCATGTTTGTAGGAGTGAGAATGTACTGATCTTTTTTTCCTAAAAGAAGAAATGACAGTGTTATTGTTTTATCCATCTTGGAGACACCAATGCTGAATGAAATACAGCAAGTATGACAGTGACTATCACTGTGACTGCTGTGCACAACTTGGTTGAAGAAATTGTTAAGTCTGAATCCTGACACTTTGTTTTGATATTTTTAGCCGTGCTAGCTGCAGGGTTTTACGGATGGTAATTTCTATCTGTCAGTGTTTGTTCACCACTTTGATCCACAATGAAATTCATTAATTCATTCAAACCTTTATTTTATTATCATTTACTCAGGAAATCAATTGCGGTAGACCCTCATCTTCATGGATGCCGTGCATGAACAAAGACATTAAAACAATTGATAAGCAAACGAAGAACCATCAGTTGAAATAGAAATTAAATCACACAAAACAACAAATAACAACAGCAATAAATGATCACTTAAAGTAGAAATACAACATGATAAACATGCTAAGGTGGAGATGTATAGTTAAAAGCATTTACACTCAATTAGAACAAGATCAAAAATTAGGCATTTAAACAGCCAAAAGGGCGGCAGGGTGTCCAAGTTTAAGGTCTTTTGCAGATTATTCCATGTATAAGGTGCACTGTAAAACATACCATCCATCCATTTTCATCTGCTTATCCGGGGCCGGGTCACAGGGGCAGCAGGTCGAGCAAAGCACCCCAGACGTCCCTCTCCCCAGCAACACTTTCCAGCTCCTCCTGGGGCACCCTGAGGCGTTCCCAGGCCAGATGAGATATGTAATCCCTCCAGCGTATTCTGGGTCTGCCCAGGGGCCTCCTACCAGTGGGACGTGCCCGGGAGGCGCCCCGGAGGCATCCTGGTCAGATGCCCAAACCACCTCAATTGAGCCTTTTCGACGCGAAGGAGCAGCGGCTCTACTCCGAGCTCCCTCTGGATGTCCAAGTTCCTCACCCTATCTCTAAGGCTGAGCCCAGCCACCCCACGGAGGAAACTCATTTCTGCCACTTGTATCCACGATCGCATTCTTTCACACATTCTTCCTAGTTCAAATGAGATTAAGGGAGTGTGAAGCAACAACTTTGTCTATGAACAAGTACCAAGATTATGAATATTTTAACAATTATCATCTGAGGTGCCATGAAATCTTGCGCATTCATGACATTCATGATCACCAGAGGGCTCAGTGAATGATTTTGATGATTAATTTGGTGCCATCTTGAGGTTCGCATTTGTGATTTTAAGTGAAGTGTCTAAACAACTTTTGGGTGAGTTGCTACAAAATGTGCAACCCTGTTTTCTGGAAATTACGTTTGTTTTATTACTAAATTGCATTCATAATGACATTGTGGTGACAGTGTAATCACTGCCTGGGCTGCGTTCAGAGACGTTTCTCTGCGTTAATGAAATAATGCACTGTGCTGAATTCAAGGTTGTCACGGCACGGTACTGTAGATGGTGGTCATACAAAGTGCAGTCCAGTGACACAAGAACCCCAGGATCACATTCAGACTTACAAGCAGCCAAAATGGGGGGGCTGGGCTCAGTCTTAGAGATAGGGTGAGGAGTACAGGCATCTGGAGGGAGCTCGGAGTAGAGCCGCTGCTCCTTCACATTGAAAGGGTTCAACTGAGGAAGTTCCAGCATCTGATCAGGATGCCCTCTGAGCACCTTCTGTTAGAGGTATTCTGGGTACATCCAGTTGGTAGGAGGCCATGGGGCAGACCCAGAACACACTGGAGGCATAACGTTTCTTATCTGGCCTGGAAACGCTTTGGGGTCCCCCAGGAGAATCTGGAATGGGACATCTTTGGTGCTTTACTCGGCATGCTGCCCCCGTGATCCGGTCCCGGATAAGCAGATGAAAATAGATGGATATATATATCGTTTATGATCAAATACCCACAAACCTAATAACATTCTCATCAGCCACCTCTGTACTTTGTGATCAGTGCTTAACGGCAAATGTAAAAAGCATGTGCGTATATTTGTGTGTGTGTGTGTGTGTGTGTGTGTGTTTCTGACATCAGAGTGCAAGTGACTTACTCACCATCAAAGCAAACTGAACGGCGAAGGTTTGGGCAGCCAATTGAATACAGTTTTCCATTTTTGTGAGTCACACAATTGTCCTGTGTTTCTCTGCCCCAAATGAAATACTCTCGCTCTCCTTCGTTGTAGAAATCTTTGTCCGCCAGAGACCAGTGCCACCTCTTAGTCTCCTGCTGATGAAGTCCTATCCACACGGCATCATCGTATTTGTCCTCGACAGCTTTAAGGGCTATTTCCATCTCTCCCATGTCATGTATGGTGGCCAGGTCAAAACAATGCTCTCTGCAGTAGCTCTGTGCCTCATCCCAGGTTTTTGGCTTACTGACTAAGAAGTATTCATGCTGGGACACACATGAGGACAGAGAACACAGCCCTGTGGGAGTACAGTCATGGAGACACTACTTGTCAGCTGATAAGTAGTCTATGCGCCGTGATGAAAACCTTAAATTTCAGGGTGCTTTTCAGTTAAATAAAGATACACAGCCAGCGGGAGGGAAGAAATTATGACAAAAAACACTGATAGAAATCCAAAACTTGGCAAGTATGAGGGAAACAGTAGGAATTGTGACGTGAACTTATTCTGCTGTTCTCTCAGATTAATATAACGTAATGTACAGTACAGGCCAAAAGTTTGGACACACCTTCTCATTCAATGCGTTTTCTTTATTTTCATGACTATTTACATTGTAGATTCTCACTGAAGGCATCAAAACTATGAATGAACACATGTGGAATTATGTACTTAACAAAAAAAGGTGAAATAACTGAAAACATGTTTTATATTCTAGTTTCTTCAAAATAGCCACCCTTTGCTCTGATTACTGCTTTGCACACTCTTGGCATTCTCTCGATGAGCTTCAAGAGGTAGTCACCTGAAATGGTTTCCACTTCACAGGTGTGCCTTATCAGGGTTAATTAGTGGAATTTCTTGCTTTATCAGTGGGGTTGGGACCATCAGTTGTGTTGTGCAGAAGTCAGGTTAATACACAGCCGACAGCCCTATTGGACAACTGTTAAAATTCATATTATGGCAAGAACCAATCAGCTAAATAAAGAAAAACAAGTGGCCATCATTACTTTAAGAAATGAAGGTCAGTCAGTCCGGAAAATTGCAAAAACTTTAAATGTGTCCCCAAGTGGAGTTGCAAAAACCATCAAGCGCTACAACGAAACTGGCACACATGAGGACCGACCCAGGAAAGGAAGACCAAGAGTCACCTCTGCTTCTGAGGATAAGTTCATCCAAGTCACCAGCCTCAGAAATCGCAAGTTAACAGCAGCTCAGATCAGAGACCAGATGAATGCCACACAGAGTTCTAGCAGCAGACCCATCTCTAGAACAACTGTTAAAAGGAGACTGCGCCAATCAGGCCTTCATGGTCAAATAGCTGCTAGGAAACCACTGCTAAGGAGAGGCAACAAGCAGAAGAGATTTGTTTGGGCCAAGAAACACAAGGAATGGACATTAGACCAGTGGAAATCTGTGCTTTGGTCTGATGAGTCCAAATTTGAGATCTTTGGTTCCAACCGCCGTGTCTTTGTGAGACGCAGAAAAGGTGAACGGATGGATTCCACATGCCTGGTTCCCACTGTGAAGCATGGAGGAGGAGGTGTGATGGTGTGGGGGTGTTTTGCTGGTGACACTGTTGGGGATTTATTCAAAATTGAAGGCACACTGAACCAGCATGGCTACCACAGCATCCTGCAGCGACATGCCATCCCATCCGGTTTGCGTTTAGTTGGACGATCATTTATTTTTCAACAGGACAATGACCCCAAACACACCTCCAGGCTGTGTAAGGGCTATTTGACCAAGAAGGAGAGTGATGGAGTGCTGCGGCAGATGACCTGGCCTCCACAGTCACCGGACCTGAACCCAATCCAGATGGTTTGGGGTGAGCTGGACCGCAGAGTGAAGGCAAAGGGGCCAACAAGTGCTAAACACCTCTGGGAACTCCTTCAAGACTGTTGGAAAACCATTTCAGGTGACTACCTCTTGAAGCTCATGGAGAGAATGCCAAGAGTGTGCAAAGCAGTAATCAGAGCAAAGGGTGGCTATTTTGAAGAAACTAGAATATAAAACATGTTTTCAGTTATTTCACCTTTTTTTGTTAAGTACATAACTCCACATGTGTTCATTCTTAGTTTTGATGCCTTCAGTGAGAATCTACAATGTAAATAGTCATGAAAATAAAGAAAACGCATTGAATGAGAAGGTGTGTCCAAACTTTTGGCCTGTACTGTACATCACTAACAGTTGTAGAAACGCCTCCTTCCATCTACTGGAAAGAGATAGCCGAGGAGCGTTGGAAGGAGTTGCACAATGTTCTACAGGAGAATGAGAAGTTACACAAAAACATCGAGGGCAAAGATGAACAGATAAATGAAGAGTTGCAGGAACTGACACAACAGAACACGTACAGTAAATGGCTGATATGATTGAAAGGCTGACTGCGAAGAGCCCAGACAATCTGGAAGAACTAAGAGAGGTTGCTTTTGATGTGGAAGAGGAAGATGAGCGCAATGTGGAAAAGAATAAGGAAATGATTGTGATGACAGTAAAGTGGCCGGTCAGAGTGAGGAAGAAGACTCTAACTGCAGTCAGAGTGATCCAGAGGATGAAGAGAGACTAACACTAACCTGAAAGAAGTAGAATAAGATGCATGATCCCGTCCATATCTGTGATGATGGAGGAAAAAAGAGGATTTTCATTGTTATACTCCAAAAATCTGTAACAATTCTTTAAATGTTCTCAGTAAGATCCTAAAAAATAACTCATACAGAGGGAGAAAACTGCTGTTATTATGCCTCTGCATCGACGATAGTCGTGGCCGGAGGCATTATGTTTTCAAGCTGTACGTCCCAGTCTTGTGACCATGATATCTCCGACACACATTCTCACTCTGACCTTGTCACATATTGACGTTTTGGTCATGGACTTACCCTGGGATAGAGAAGACAGAAGATACCCTGATAGCCTGGGTGCGTTGGTTGTTGACGTTCTGGGACGCCATGTCAAGTTCTCTTCTTTCAAAATACACTTCTGTTTTCACCGGAAATTTAATGTTTACATACAGTCTCTTTCAAAATAAACGCACTATGTCGGTACAACACCTCGAATTGACGTTTTTCTTTCCTCCAACAACTAACGCACATGGTTAGATTTAGGAAAAAAGAACAGGGTTTGGCTTTAGAATCTTATGGGATGCGAACACCGCTCTCTTGGGTGAAAGTCCGTGTTTGTTGGACCCATCCGTCCTACTCAGACTTTAGCTGCCTTAACTTTCATCCTTGTGCTGCCACATTTCCCCCTGACACTACTGGGCACCATTAAAGTATTACGGCAACCAGATGCGTATCATGCCGACCTTAAAGGGAAATTTCAGTTTATTTCAACCTGTCTCCTATCGTCCTAAATTTCAAGTTTTAAGTCACTAGTGACATAGAAATAATAGTTAGCATGTTAGCCGTTAGCCTAGATACAGCCGTAGCGTCAGACCTGTTAAACCTAAGTGAACGGGCAACCTTCAAGTGCAAAGTTAGTCCACTAAACAAGCTTTTTTTCCACAAAGTCCACCTCATATCGTTAGGATAAATGTCAGAGAACATATAGAAAACGACATGTAAACGTGTTGTCTTACCTTACCGGTGTGCTGCCATGTTTGTTTACCATCTAGCTCTGCTTTCCAAAGCGCGGCCGAAATATATCTCGCGAGCTCTAGATAAAGCCCAGCTGGATACTACTCCAGGTGGAGGTGTCTCGTCCTCGGTCACATCCAGACCTTGAAAATAAGGCTGCAACCGGTCCCATTCCTTGCAATAGAGGCATTCCTCTTCTGTGGGCACTGGGGCACAGCATTCACAGGTACACCACCAATCTCCAGAGCTACGCAGCCTTGCAGCAGCCCTTCCTCCTCTCTCGTCCTCTACCTGTTGCGCCTCTCTCTCTCTCTCCTCCTCCGTTCTTCAATTTCACGAAGCTCTTCGTCAGTGTATTCTGGCTCAAATAAATAAGGGCGGCCATCAAACTCTGCAAAATCAAATTCCTCCTCCACAAAGTCGAAGTCTGGCAAAAAGTCAGCCATTATTCTATAAATCTTTCATAAAATAAATGAATGAACTTTTCAGGCTACTGTCCGGTTCTGCCTTCCAGCTGTTGCTGCTTGTTCAGGCACGCTATGAGATCGCTGCTTGTTCTCGCGATACTTCGGCTAGTCACTTGAAACCAATTTAGGACGATAGGAGACGGGTTGAAATAAACCAAAATTTCCCTTTAATGGATGCCTTTTTTCGTTGGTGTCTGACGCCGCAAGTCACTAGCCTGGTGTTGCCAGACCCAATTCGCAAAAAGCAAATGGGTCTGGACACGGAGTGTACATTTCCTCTGTTCCCGAGGGGTGGTATCAACGGCTGTCACTCAAAGTTCCCCTTCACACAATTGGAAAGATGGAAAACCAATCAGAGTAAACGAAACGTGTGATGTAGGCTAGCACATTGCCACTGTAAACAGACCAGCAAGCTGCAGCGGAGATGAGCTGTGATGATGTCTGGGAAAGAGTGTTGCCTTCTTTGCAGATTTCCTCCTCACTGTGGACTCCGAGTTGCGTGGCTGTGATTCCCAGCTTGGTCGCTTCCCTGACCTGCTCCTCCATGAGAGCAACTAGCAGAGAAACAACAGTAGCCACTGGGTTTTCACTGAGTCCCATCTTAATCCCGATCAGTGAAGCCAGTTGGTAAATTAAACTTTTACCAAACCCCGTAGGAGGGACGGCAAACACATCCTTTTTTTCAATAAAAGCTTTCAGTGCAGCCATTTGCTTTGCTTTTAAAGAAAATGTACATTCCAGTTCCTTTAACACATTTATCATCACAGTTCCAAAATCAGTAGCCATGTTGGTTTTTTACGAAATGTATTCACTCCGCTCCTTGTCCCTCCTATTCTGATGACGTGATTTCAAATAACCTTCCCTAAAGTATTAAATGGTTGTGATTGGCCCGGTAAGCCAAAACCGATGCAAGATTTTGATGAACTCATTAGATTTTGGTGGTCATAGGTCAGAGGTCAAGGTCACTGTGACCACGCCTGTCGCATTCTTGTGAAGGTGATATCTCAAGAACACCTTGAGGGAATTCTAGTTTTTAAATAGTCACTCCTAATTTCTACTGATTTTTCCTAAATGAGTTGAGCCCCAAAATTTTCCCCGACACAAAAACAATCTTTTCTGTTAACATCTTAATCGACCCACTGTCTGAAATACCCCTTAATATTGTCTGTGTCAATCACCCTGGTTCCCTCATCAAAAAGCCTATGGGATTTTTCCACTGGAATGGATTTTGGATTATTGCAGAAAATAATCCCTGTGGCAAGCAAACCTTTATGATACTTTGTTCAGGAGGATAAAAAACGCTTTCCATAAGTAACAAGCTAACATTAGGCTACAAACAAACTACATTACAGTTGCATGACTTTAAGAGTTTTTAAATAACCCTTAATATTGTCTGTGTCAATACAAAGCAGCTGTAAAATATTTTTTGAAGGAAAAATAATGAACAAAATTAAAGATTTTAAAAAAGTGATAACATGAATTAACGTTTCACTGACATTAAAAAAAGGACTAGAAGAGAAGAGAATCTTGGGATTGGATTATATGCTGGCAGAGAGCAGATTTACCTAATGTCCGATGAGTTTTCGTCTGTCCGTGGATTATTTTTGTCGATGTATTTATCTCCTAATGGTCTTGATTCACTTCTCTAAGTTGAGTTGCACAAAAGAAAACTGGCCCTTGAAGAATTCACTAGAAGAAGAACAAAAAAATATTGAAGTATCTTTTTATTCCTCTGTTCTGTTTCTGAATCTTTCCTTATTGCTCTCACAGCACACTCTGACTGATTTCCTCCACTGCAAATTTTTCCTCCCCAGTATGTAAAAGTCTCTTGATAGAAGCAAATGCAAACTTTACTTTAATCCATTTGAAATGCAAACTAAAGATACTTAATGCTTTAACATGAACTCGTTCTTATGCTCACGCTCAGAGACACTGCAAACTGCACTGAGCCTCCCTGAATGACTGGCAGAAAATGTGCAGTGCTGTGAAAAAGTATTTGCCCCGTCCTGATTTCTTATATTTTTGCATATTTTTCACACTTAAATGTTTCAGATCATCAAACAAATTTTAATATTAGATAACGGGAGTAAATACAAAATCAGTTTTTAAATGATGGTTTCATTTATTAAGGGAAAAAAGCTATCCAAACCTACCTGGCCCTATGTGAAAAAGTAATTGATGATTTTTTCCTGGCAGAAGTGTTTGTTGTACATGATGTGTCCAAGGACCGTAGACAATTTTAAAATCCAACAATAATTTCTGTTTTTAGAGTTTCTGACTGTAATTAATGGTGAAAATTTGTTGAGTTTTAATGAAAATATGCCTCCTAAATTTGGCAAGTGTCATGATCCTGGGTTTTTGTTTATATTCTGTTATCCTATGGACTTTGCTTTAGAGTTTTCTGTTTGTTCTTCCTTGTTTTAGGTTTTTTATTCATGTTTAATCTGTTTCCTGTTTTATGTTGTAGGCCTGGCTTTACTGTTTTCTGTCACACCTGTCTTCATCAATGTCGTTAGTCCGTACCTGTTCCCAGAGTCCCCACCACACCCTTGTTGTAGGCCATCCCCATTTCCCTTCTTTTGCCCGTGTCCTCCTCCTCCAGCTGTGTCTCGTTCTTGTGATCAGTTTTCTGTGTATATAAACCTGTGTTTCCCTTTGTTCCTTGCAAGTTGGTCTGCGTTCAATCCTGTAGTCTTCCCTGAGGTCATCCCTGTGTTCTTGGTGTCATTTCCTGCTCCGTTTCCTGCATTCATCCTATTATACCAGCTGGTTTCCAGCTAGTTTTGGGTCTTCTGTCATTTGAACTCTCTGTTCCCTGTCTGTTCTGGATCAAACCAGCAAACTGTACTACAATAACTCACTTTCAGAAGTTTTTAGTCCAGCATGCACCTGTCCCTCTCACCTCACACAGTGCCTGAGCCCTGCAGGTCTCCATTTGTTAAACAAAAATATTATAAACCGAACATCAGTGGGGATAGATGTTGCTGTTGAGGCTCTCCAGTCCAGCAGGGGGCAGTGGTGTTTATTCACCTTACTTTATTTCATGTCTGTAGCTTTAAAACCAAACATGTCTCTGCACTTCAAAGAATGCTTCCTGTAATCTGACATGAAGCTGAGGGTGAAGTGAAACATGTACATTCAGTCCTAAAACTGACAGTTGTTGATACATATTTGCAATCTGTGTATTATTTAGGCTTTAATTACATGTTATAGCAGCATAATCTGAATGTGTGAGACACATAAATAAAAAAATAAAGCCTGATTTTGCTGATCAGATGCACAAGCTTCCTCATTTGTGAGCAAGGTAAGTGACACTATATACCATACTGTGAACATATTCCACTGCATGCTGAAGTCCTGCATTCAAGACCTTAGTTAAGAAAAAGTATAATCAGCTAAGTGTACTTAAAATACGAAAAGTAAAAGTTCTCACTGTGCAGTAATGTCAGTGATGTTTTTGGATTAATGTTCCTGCTGCATTAATGTGTATGCTGCATTTTTCTGCTGTAGATGTTTAAGGTTGTGCTCATTGTATACTGATGGGTAGTTTAATCTACAGCAATGCATCATATTCTGTAGGATCATCATATGTTTGTAGTGTCACTGGAAGGACCTGCGGTATCTCTCTTTCAAACACAGCAGGTGAAGCAGCCTGTCACTGAAGGAGCTGCCTGGTGCAAAGTGTCCTGCATTTTTGATTTTTTAGACTTATTTATTTTTTTAAAAATGGGACAATATGTATTAATAAGCAATTACTTGTAAATACATGAGATTACAGCCAGGTGGCTTATTTCTATCTGAAGTCCCATGGCAGGTTGATGTTTAAACACAGAAATGGCAACAATGCCAACAATCTTACTATATAATGACAAAAACTGTGTGCGTGTGTTTGTCTGTGTGTCTGTTCCATGTTTTTCTCCTCACTGACTTGGTCAATTCATGTGAAATTTGGCACAGTGGTAGAGGGTCATGGGAGGATGCCAATGAAGCAATATTACATCAGTTGGCCAAAGGGGGGCGCTATAGCAACCGACTAAAATTGCAAACTTTGAATGGGCATATCTCATGCCCAGTATGTCGTAGAGACATGAAACTTTGCACAGAGATGCCTCTCCTCATGAGGAACACATTTGCCTCAAGAACCCATAACTTCCGGTCATATAGATTTTCCGCCATTTTGAATTTTTTTGAAAAACACTTCAAATGGATCTCTTCCTAGGAAGTTTGAGCAATCTGCATGAAACTGGGTGAACATAATCTAGGGACCAATATCTAAAGTTCCCTCTTGGCAAAAATTGGAAAACTTACTAAAACTGAGCTTCTATAAGGCAATGAATATTGTGGAGGGCGTGGCTCATCACATAAAGGTGTATAACATCTCAAGGGTTTCACCCATCACCACGCAACTTTGTAGGCATATGACCACACATAATCTGAGGGGACCCCTCCATTAATGACCCCATCAAACAAAATGGGGGCGCTAGAGAGCTAATTTCTTATCTAGGCCTAACCGCCATATGGATTTTTACTAAACTTGGTAGATATGTAGAACAGGACGACTCAAGGTGACTGGAGAAATTTAACTCTAATTGGCAACTGGGTGGCGCTATAACAACAGAAAAATGCTTAAAAATGGCTAAAATGCGACCGATCGCTGTGGCTCCCCTTGTGGACCAATGTTGTTGTTTTTTTCTAATTTTTGGTATGACTAAGTCATGGTATGGTATGCTGTACATAATCACAGAAACTGTCAGTGTGTTTTTCTTTCTATGTGAAACTGTACATAGGCATTGAGGATTGGCATAGGTAGAAGGTGACAAAGCTACCAATGGGTATGGACTTGTAAGAAAAATAATACGTAAGTAAGACAGTAAAACAGAGTAAGACAAGCAAAACAACGTACACAGAAACATAGTAGACCAGTTTTTAGATATCAATTTATAAAGTGTTTAAGTGCTAGTTAAAGTGCCAAGTTCTAAACTGTCCGTTTGGCTATCATTCTCCTTTCTCCCACTGCCTCCACCAGGTCAAGGGAACGTCCCAGGACAGAGCTGGCCTTCTTTATCAGATGAGCTGATGCCAGCACAGTGTCAAAGAATGAATGTCAGATGAATTTAGTGTAGTTAAATTACAGTATTTGCCTCTGAGATGTGGTGGAGTAGAAGTATAATGTTGCATAATACAGAAATACACAAGTAAAGTCCATGTACCTTGAATTTGTACTTGAGTAAATGAACTTGGTTACATTCCATCACTGGCTGCTCTCATCTTAAAAGATGCTAAAACACACTATACTTCCTCTTCACTATGTTTCAGCTCTGACCTGAAATGAAACAGGAGCACCAGGATCTCATCCTGCAGGTGTGTGGAGCGTCATCCCTGCGTGTCGGTGCCAACATCCAGACACTGTGGAGCGGTTATGGGGAGATCGTCCGGCTGCACCTGGAGGGCTGCGAGCGGCCCTCTGTGGTCGTCAAACACGTCAAGTTTCCAGAGGAGACCGAGCACCCTGGAGGCTGGAACACAGACCGCTCCCATGCACGTAAAGTCAGATCCTACCAGTTGGAGACACACTGGTACCAGAACTACTCCACCAATCAGAGCTGTCGGATCCCTGCCTGTCTGGCTGCCTGTTCCCATGGAGACGAGATGCTGATCGTGCTGGAGGATCTGGATGTGGCTGGTTATGATCAGAGAAGGTATGATCACCGAAATGTGTGACACACAGGTCTGTAGCTTTGCGACGTCTAGGCTATAAAATGAATGGAGGAATTCTACATTTCCATTAAAATGATCAAGTAACATTTTTTAGGAGCTGATAAAACCAAACTAAGCGCTTCAATACTGGATTAATAGGAATGTTTGTTTGTGTTTGTAGGACCAGTGTGAAGGACAGAGAAATAAAGACTTGCCTCAGCTGGCTTGCCCACTTCCATGCTCTCTTCCTGGGTGTGGCACCAGACGGCCTGTGGCCTATCGGCACCTACTGGCACCTGGAGACCCGACCAGACGAGCTGGAGGCCATGGACGATGCTCAGCTCAAAGCAGCAGCCAGCGACATTGACAGGATACTCAACGAATGTCGCTTCAAGACCATCGTTCACGGAGATGCCAAGTTAGCCAACTTCTGTTTCTCCCAGAGTGGACGGGACGTGGCAGCCGTTGACTTCCAGTATGTCGGTGGGGGATGCGGGATGAAAGATGTTGTGTATTTTTTAGGAAGCTGCATGGACGAGAGGCAGTGTGCAAAGAAGGTTCCAGGCCTGCTGGACTACTATTTCACAGAATTAAAGCAATCTGTGAATAAAGATGTGGACTTTGTTGCCCTGGAGAAAGAGTGGAGGGAGATGTTTGCATTTGCATGGACAGATTTTCATCGATTTCTGCTGGGATGGATGCCTGGACACTGGAAGATCAACCGGTACAGTAAACAATTGACGAAGGAGGTTATTCACAAACTGAAACTGCACCCAGAACCAACAACGTTTTAACAATAGACAACCAAGAAGAGTGTGTGGCTGAAAGGAGACCAGTTTGAACCTGAAAATCTGTGAATGTTAAAATGAATCACGCACAAACACCTGTGTACAGTGAAGCATGCTTATCAAAACAATCCTGGATAAATAAAAGCTTGTGAAAAGGCTCAGGCTTTTCTTACCTATACTGCAGCTCTTGAAAGTGAAAGTGACAATGCTGAGAACAGAAAGGTTACTGGAGTGGAAACCCCTAAATTAATTTCAACTACCCATTAAATCCTGGAAGATTTATATCAATCTTTTCATTCCTGTTTATAGTTTTGGGTCTTGGACCATGGTTGGGCAAAACACACTGTTTTAAGGACTCTGGGAAATTGTGATGGACATTTTTCACAATTGTTTGACATGTTATTGACGAAACATCAAGTAATCAAAAATAAATCCAAAGAAGAATCGTCAGTGGCATTTATGGTTAGCTGCAGTCCTATATTGCTTTGTTGTAAAGTACTTTTACTTTTATATGCCTTCGCACTGGCGTGTCCAGAGGCATTATGTTTTCAAGTTGTCCTTCCGTCCCATTCTTGTGAACGCAATATCTCAAGAACGCATTAAGGGAATTTCTGTAAATTTGGCACAAATGTCCACTTGGACTCAAGGATGAACTGATTAGATATTGTCAGTCATAGGTTAAATGTCAAGGTCACTGTGGCCTCATCTGTCTCATTCATCTGAACACAATATCAAGAACACCTTGAGGGAATCTTTTCGAATGTGGCACAAACATCCATTTGGGTGGGTCAAAAGGGTAAAAGGTCAACTTCACTGTGACATCATAATGTTCTGCAAAAACACTTCTCTGGCCATGATACCACATCATATCTCAGGAACAGAGAGGAGAGACATTTGGTTGGATACTGAATTAAATTTTGGGCGCCCACCTTTAAACTGTGCTGATTGTTTAGATCATCTGTGCTGTCAGGGTAAAGATGTGTGTGAAGCATCCACGTTTTTACAGACATGAATGGGAACTGTAAGTGCAGCTTAACTGAAACGCGGAGGCAAACAACTATGTGGCAGTAATTCTAGTTTCTTTTGGTCTTTGCCTGTAACAGAAGTTAGTCCAGGTTTTACACCGAATTTAGTGTCCCATTAAATTCTGTGTCCTGACACAGACTGTCAGCTGTATCAGCTAGCAGATTTTGAGAGCTGTTACAACAAAGATGGCTCCCACAAGATTGGGATTGTGTAATAAATTTTGACAATTATAAAGAAAATTTTGTGATACTACAGATACAGAAAGGGTCACATTTTTTGATATAATGTGATCCTTGAGAAGAACAAAATTTTTGATAATTGTAAGTAATTAGTTAATATTAGTTCATTAGTAATTAAGACCCACTAGCTTAGGTTTAAAAATTTAGCTAACTTAAAGAGAGGGTAAAACACTGATAACTGTAAAGAAAAGAAAATGTGACCCAAGAGAAGGTCAAAGTTTTTGGTAATGGTAAGTATTTAGTATTTGTTGATTAGTAATTATGACCCGCTAGCTAAAAGAGAGGGTGAAAATTTTTGATAATTCTAGAAATAACTGTACTGTATACAGAAAGGGTAAAACATACTGGTAACTATAAAGAAAAAAATGTCACCCTGCAGATAGAGAATGGGTAACAGATATTGATAACTGCCTAAGAAAACCGTGGATCCCTAATTTTGAAAACTGTATTTTTTTATAATGTGATGTTGTGGATACACAAAGGATCAAAATTTGTGATGACTGTAAAAAAAAAATTTAAAAATAAAATAAATAAATACAAAATAAATATTTTATAACTGTGTGAAATAAATGTGACCTTAAAGAAAAATCAAATCAAGTTTATTTAAAAAGCACTTATAAAAACAACCAGAGTTAACCAAAGTGCTGTACAATAAAATAAAAATAAGCATAATAATATAACATGGTTACAACAAAAAGTGAAAGTAATAATATAACAAACCAAAAAAAAACAGGATCAGAGTTTGTCAATAAAATACAGTACGTGGAAAATGTATAATAAAAACGTTTGCACGGGCAACAGCTTAAAAATATTACCTGTCACATAATTTGGTGCAAAATCTTTCCTCTGTTTTTTATTTCACGTCATTAAACGCAACAGAGTAATGTGAAATATTAATAATTTTTCCACCGCTGCTCTTTTTGCTTGTTATCAGATTCTCTCTTCCCCTGATCAGCTGTTGTGAGGACGATGACGTGTTTCCGGTTTCACACCCGACATTACAACAACAAGGCAGGGAGCCGAGCTGGGGCGAAGAGACGACCGTTACACAAGAGTAAACAGGTACAACAAGAAAACATGTCTGATAGCGGCAACTTGACCTCAGTACGTTACGTTAAGACCGTTAAATGTGTTGTCACCGCGGTCACCGGTTCGACAGTCCAACCGAATTTTCTAGCAAGCAACAGCGAAGCTAACGTTAGCCACCGAGCTAACGCCGTTACTCTGCTACCGTGAAGGGTCAAAATATATAAGCAGAGCCGCCCTGAGCGACCTGCCTCATTAAAGATAGCTTCATGAGTGCATGTGTTGGTTTGTGAACATGAGGCGTGTGCCGGTTAACGGCGGATTTAGCTATGCACCCACCGGTTTAGCTCGACCCGCGATGATTTATAGTTTATTAGTTGTTTTGGCAGTTCACTGTAAAGATGACGCAACATGGCAGGTGTCAGGAAGTGTGAGCTGGAGCTCGTGACCCCTCAACTGCAGCGGTTACTTTCTGTTTTCATGCTTTAAAGTGTCTGTCAATAAAATACAGACGTGCATCATATTATTAGCTAACTTAGAGAGACTTAGAGAACACATACCTACTGTATACCAGCTAAACCAGTTAGGTCACCTGTCAGGTTACTTTGCAGCAGTGGGAATCTTCCTGTTACATCAGAAAATTCATTTGCAGTTGTCAGTACAACAGTAACGTTATACTTAAACTATAGTCATGGAGATATTCTATATTTTTCCTTACTGTCAACAAATCCCATGCTTAGACTGCAGCTGCAACGACTAGTCAATTAATCGATTATTAGATTGACAGAAAATTACATTTTGATTATTAATCGCTGAATCGCTCGTGTGAGGATTTGCTTTCCTTGGTCATACACAGTTTAGGGAGTAACTAGTTACATTACAAAATAAATGTACTCAGTTATAGTTATAATTAAAAAAAGTTATTACTTATAGTTACTAAGATATAGTTATGAAGATGTTGTTTATAACAGGGTAGGATCTGGATATATCTTGTTTGTAAAAAGTTTTTATGTAGAATGTAACATTCATTCTGTTGCTTTGCATTATGCTGCACAGGAATGCCTTCTGTTGGCACAGCCTATGTCTGGACATTTATTTTAGCTTTATTTTATTTCATTTTATCTGAAAAGTAATCCAAAAAAGTAACCATATGTAATACAGTAAAACACATACATTGCCTGTTAAATTTTCAACTGGGTGATTAGTAATCTGTAACCCATTACGTCTCACATGTAACCTTCTCAACACCAATCTTATATTATAGTACATATAACATTTTGAGGTTTTGAAATGTTGTTTGGACCAAACAAGACATTTGATGAAGCCACTTCAAGCTAGGGTATTGTATCAAGTTTTTCTCGCTTGCTTCTAATGTTTTGTAGGCCAGTTGATTAATTGAGAAAATATTCTACAGATTAACTGATAAGGAACATAATTGTTCGTTGCAGCCCTGGTAGACCAAAACAATGTTTTTGCCAAGAAAGTTTGCACATACATGGAATTTGGCTTTGTGTTTTGATGCATAACAATGAACATAGTGCAAAAGTTAAGAGAGACAACTCACTGTATGAAGTATAAAGTAGTAGATATGCATTAATGAATTGAACTTCCTAACTAGTACTGCCTGTGTAACCAGTGTCTGATACACGTAGCTTACTCCTCTGTGCTGCAGAGCTCACTTATTGTCCAACTACTATATTACTTGAAACACATGAATGATTCACACCACAGTGCTGTGTGACACTGTCATTGGAGCACCATGTATGTCTCTGAAAATCGTCCATAACATATGTGGTAATTAATGTGGTTCAAGTAAAGCTTGCTAAAAACTACACTGCCAAACTGTTTTTGGAAATTCCATAACCCTTTAAAAAATGAAAGTAAATGTTCCTGATCTGTTTCTAACAGTGTATCGCTTCACTTGGAGAATAACGTCAGTCAAAAGCCAAATATTAATCATTTAAAGTAGGAAAAATAGTGAGGTACGTGTAGCCAAAACTAATACAGAGTTAAAACAACTTCATGCAAGTTATAATCAGTTATAGATAGTTGTTGATTTAATTTTGTGGTCATTTTGGAAGCTTTGATTTGTGGTGCTGTTGAGGTGTAATATGTTATACTGAGAAGTATCTCTAGTATTAAGTACTATTAATATAAAAGGGACTGATAGAATATTAAGAACGGGGTATACAAATTCAACAGCACCACAATCTACAGCCTCTAACATGACATGCAGCTGAGTGAATGCTTTTTTATCATTTCAAATATAAAATTAAGATGACATTCATAGGACCAGGGTATAAAAACTGACAAAACAAAACATAAAAACGATCTACGCTGATTGGTGCATTAAAAAGATAATCCAGATGATTTAATGTGATGATTTTATGTGTTATGAAAATCCACCAGCCTTTACAGTGTATGAAGAACGTCCTTCCCCTCAAACAGACTCAAACTCTTCCTCTTTTTTTCACACAAAATCCAAGAACTGTCACCACAGAAGAACTCCCATCGCTGTAGTTGGAAAGCACCAACTTCCCCCTGCAGATGAGACAAATGTTGTAGAGGGGGAGCAACCCCCCACCCACAGCGGGGACAGTGTTTGGTGTGTTTCAGCTGAGCCCAGAATGGAGGGGATTTGAGGGAGCTTCCTCCTCAGGTGTGTCCTGAGTTGTGACACTCCAGCTCTCCTGAGCTCCGGTTCCTCAGAGCCCACCCTGCTAGTAATATGAGCCATGGAGTCCTGGGCAGTTGATAGTCCTGTAACCCTGGTCATTAAGGCCCCCAACCAGAAGTATGAAGACCAGACCATTAACTGTTTCCTCAACTGGACTGTGGAGAGGCTGAAGAGTCACATCTCCAACGTGTACCCCAGCAAGCCGGTAAGTCGCTGTCATGTTTGAGGGTTTTCTTTGTTCCCTTTGTTTAGACTCTACTTCTGCAACTTCCCCAGTTAGGATATATAAAGTTTTATCTTATCTTAGGGTCTGAACTTAGAGATAAATATGCTTAAAAAGAGTTTAAACTGACACATGGTGAAAGATTGAATTCTAAAAGGTTGTGATGAGGTTTAGGTGATCACAGAACTAGATGCATTCAGGTGTTTCATTCCTGATCTAGCCCAGGAAAGAGGGGAGTAACAATAAAATAAAACCAGGGAAAATAAATCAGGGGAATCAAATATAAGCAAAATATAGCAATTTATTAACAATTAAAGAAATAAAAATGTGCACAACTAAAACTTAAGGTTACAAGTAGAAACTACTTTCTCATCAAAAGAGAAAAGCAACACTAGTTTAAATACTAAATCAAAAAGGAAGCAACACACACAGCCTCTCTGCTAACGTCTGGCCCTCTGCCTCCTCTGTATGTTTCTCCAGTCTTTTAGGCCTAGTCCACACGAGCACAGGTATTTTTACAACCAAACTTTTTGGCCTCCAGTTTGTAAAAAATCTGTGTCCATAGAAGCGGGGTAATAAAAATACCTCTGTCCGCATGACACCGCAAATTCCACTATCAAGCAATGTAATACACATGCCAAAGCAGTAGGTGGCGATATAACTCCTAACTGTAAGGCCATTGTAGCCAATCAGAAGGCAGAAAAGGGTCATTACGTCATTACCGTAAAAACAACAACAAGCGTACTATTATGCAGCAGGAGCAGTCTCCGTAATAGCACACTCTTGCGCCTCTGTTGCTGGATGTGGTTGAGTAGCGTTAGTTGTATGATACAGCCACAAAGTGCTGATATGCTGCTAAATAGCAGCAGTATTTTGTTTAGGTCCATCCTCAAAACGTCTCTCGCACACACTGGATCGGGTAATAACACAGCTGTTTTCTGTTTATGTCGCACACTGTGACGTCATACAATGGAGACGAGACAAAATAACTGCGGTTATCCTGTTCACACATGACTGCTGACAACAAACTTTTCCGAAAAGTTCACCCTGGACTCCGGTTATAAATAACTCTGGTTACAGGGGCCCAAAACTGCAGTTACGTGTGGATGAAAGGCCAAACCATGAGCAAAGAGTCACGGTTTTATAAATGCCCGCGTTGGTGCGGACAGCCCCTTAACCTGCATGTTTCTGGTGAGCAGATTAAGCTCAGGTGCGCTCAATTACTCTCTGCACAGTGAGGAGGCAGGAGGGCTGCACCTGGAGAGGCACACAAGAGAAAACAGAACAATACACCACCCTGTGGCACGCAACATCAGGCCTTTGAACACCAAAAGACAAATAAAGGGCTGCAACTAACAATAATATTCTTTATCGATTCATTTATTTTCTCAAGTAATCAGTGAACAAGTTGGTCTACAAAACACGAGCAAAATAATTTTCTAGAGCCAAAATGCCTCTAAACCCAAAGATATTCATTTTATGATGAAGGAAGAGAAAGAAAAGGATCAAATTCTCACATTTGATAAGCCTGAACCAACATATATTTGTCATGTTTCCTTGAAAATATTAGCAGGCGATTCATTTTCTGCCGATCGCCTACTCAGTTAATCGTTTCAGCTCTAGATAAATTTCTATTCCTAGTAGAACGAGTAAACAGAAATGAAAATCAGGCACGTTATACCATTAATCATTTATTGAAATCATAAGTCAGCAGCTGAGACGTTCATGAAACCATGTGAGTGAATGAGTGAAAAAGGACAAAGTTACACTGACATTTTATCTCGTGAACATTTAACACTCCTGAACACCTGTAAGTTTGAAAGGTGACTGTGAAAAAGTCGTAGTTTCGTCCTTCTTGGACCACAGTGGCTGTCAGTTACAAAATATTTCAGCTATATTTTTTTTCCAGTGGAGGGAAAAAATAAAAACCAGTCCTGCAGCAATCCCCGTCTGTGCTCTGTCACGTATGCTTAGTATGTTCCAAAACAATCACATGACTAAATGCAGTGCTCCTGTTTTTATCCTAAATAATGGCTGTGTTGAGGTTGCTAACAGAAGCATTTTGTTGGTTTGTGGACATAAGAGCAGCTGCTTCCTCCTCACTTGTTTGGTGAAAAATAATCTCCTCTTTCAGTTAGTACTTAGCAAAGGGGGCTGCTGGATTTTTATGGATGAGGCGAGCAGTTACCTGGGAAATGCTGTTGTTCTAATGTATGCTTTAACACCTCAAATTTCAGATTTATGGACTGCTTTGCACTGCCAAAAAAAACCCCCGAAAACAGCATGGCACTATGGCTTACTGTGAGTGAAGTGAAATGGATGAAAAGCAGACTAAGGGAAAAATACCATTTTAAATAAGTTAGTTTCATTTTGTCATGACAAAAAGAAAACCAAAGATACTATGAGTGAAGCAAAGCTGCGTAACCATAGCAACAAGCAACATGTGTTAAAATGTCAGTGAAAGTTCGTGCCTCAAGTCTGTGTGTGTAAAATGATCCGATGATGCTGCCAAAGACGATTATGAGAGGGAAAGCACAGCACACATAAACACAACCATTGATTTGTAACCTTTAAGATTTTGTTATTTGTTTGTACGTCAGTCGTCACTTTTCTATCATACAACAAAATGAAGCACAGAGGCTCAAGAAGCACAGAGAATATAGTTATACACACTGTGTATGCTGTCAGTGAGAGTTGAAATCTAATCCAGCCCTGTAATCTAATCTAATCCAAAGGTGCCTAATCACTTAGTACACATAAAGGATTCATGGTATAACATTCCACATAACAAAAAGGTCTTCCCTTCTCACAGCTCGAAACAGAAACATCAGGTTCAAATGCATCGTCATAGACATTAATCGGCACGGTTGCACATTTAGATAGAATGAAATGCATCTTCCCTGACTCTCTCAGCCCTTAAAGGTCCAGTGGGCAGGATTTAGACAAATTATATAATCACCTGAAAATAAGAGTAGTTTTGTTTTTGTTTCCTTAAGCCCAGTTCAGACCAAAGATTCATGAAGTGTTGAACTGTTTTAGAGCGTTGCAGAGAAAAGTTGCAGTGGTGTGAACTGGCTGTCTGAGCTTGACTTAAGCCGGCTGATGGTGTCACCTGCAACTCAGCTGGTCAAATCACCGGCGGCTGGATTTAGAGCATAAAGCACGTCATCTGTTTCTATAGATAATCAGCTTGCAGTGAAGTCCGCTGGTCAAGTCAAAATGGCCGCAGATCGCGTGTTCGCTGAGAGATGATACACCGTCTCATCTAGTTGCATTGGGCAGCAGGTTTTTTTAGAACGTTGCCGAACAGCGTGTTGCAAGCAGTTGCCTGTTTTAGTTCGTCTTGTTGTGAATCTTTGGTCTGAACTGGACTTCAGAATGAGCTGTTTGTATCTACATATGGAGCAGCTCCTTCCATGAAGTCTGCCATGTTGTTCCGCATTCGACCAGAACAGACAAACCAAACGTTGGCTCTAGATAAGGCCACTCGTGTTCTCGCGTTGGCCACTGTAATTCTTCTACATGCTTGGCACACAGGAGAAGTTTCAGTTCTGCAACCTCTCCTCTAGATGCCACTAAATTCTCCACACTGGACCTTTAAACCTAAACATAAATAAGATAAAGTGAAAGACAACAATAAGAAGAAATCCTACAACATTTTAACATTTTCAGAGCTGACTAGAGAAATGATTGTTAATTTAAAAGACTTTTCCTTGAGCACTTTAAAGACTTCTCATCCAGGTTTTCTGTAAAGCTGAGATTCATTCTTGTCCTTGGAAACACTTGAAACAGTTGTTGACTTTGTAGGTTTTAGCTCTCAGGCCCTTTTTTTATTGGGCACTCTTATCTGTGTACACTGTAAAGAACAGAGTGTTAGGTGGGTGAGATAGACACACAGCCTGTGGTCCAGTTGTTTTTAATAACACATTTAGACTGCTTCACACTGTGCATACAGCGGTCATTTCTTTGTCTCACCATGAGATGCTGTTTGTGTTGTAGCTGTCCAAAGACCAGCGGCTGGTGTACTCCGGAAGGCTCCTTCAAGACCACCTACAGCTTAGAGATGTGCTTAGAAAGGTAAGAGCTACTGCAGGCCTGTGTTTTCTGTGTGTGTGCATGCAGGTGAAAGCATTGACCATGTTTAACATGGATAAAATGTTGTTTGGCAACCCACCCAAAAAGAGTAGTACCTGTCCGAGGAAGCCTTTTAAATGTATATACGGTTATTTTCATTATCAATTAATCTGCAGGTTATTTTCTTGATTTATAATTTAGTCTGTAAAATACAAAGTTGTGAAAAATGGTAGTTAAAATCTTTCACAGTTCAAGTTGGTGTCTTTAGATTTCTTGTTTTGTCCAACCAAACAACCCAAAACCCAAATATATTTAGTTGAAAAAGAAAGTATCAAACCGACACATTTGAGAAGCTGGGGTCAGCAAATCTTTGGCATACTTGCTCACACGCAGCTTGTTCACATGTCTGTGTGTGTGTGTGTGTGTGTGTGTGTGTGTGTGTGTGTGTGTGTGTGTGTGTTGTGGGGGAACTGAAACAGGCTGCCTGGAACACAATAGCTGATCTGACGTGTTTTACCAACAAAGACTGAGCATTGTGTCTGAATTCTGGTCATTTCCACACTAATCCTTCCTCCCTCTCTGTCTCTCTCTCTGTTTCTTGTTTTGTCTCTCTGATCTGTTGCTGCCTTCACCTCCTCCTCCTCTTCCTCCTCCTCTCTCTCCTCCTACCACATCCTCGACCCGCAGCAGGATGAATATCACATGATGCATCTAGTGTGTACCTCTCACAGCCCCCCAGCCTCACCCATGCCTCGGAGCCCCTCCACGGCCAGCTCTTCTGCTTCTGACTCTAGCGTGAGTAGACCCACACACACACACACACACACACACACACATGTTTGCTTCTTAATCTCCTTCGTTCGACGGCTGCAAATCGTCGCATATGGTGTTTTGATAGGCCCACATTTGCCCACAGGCCGTGAACTTAATATTCTTCACCTACAGCAAACATATGTTTTCTCCCACTTGTTTTCCTGTTGCCTCTGTATGAGGTCACACTGCCACTAAAACTTGCTTTTCATCCAGTCTGAACACACCTTTATAAAACACTTTCATTTGTGTTCATCATGAAAACTGTACTCTGTGCTCATCTCAACTTCTGATTGTGGTTCACGTCTCGCTCTTTAGAGTTCAGACAGTGCCGGCTCCACCTCTCCTGCCACCACACCAAATCAGGACAGTCAGCCAGCCCCCTCCTCTTCCTCCTCTGTCCCAGGAAGTTATGATGGCCTGAGGTATCGTGGCGGCTTCCCCCAGTACAACCCTCAGAGCCCCGCTGGTGTCCCTCAGTGGTAAGAAAACCTCTGATTTTACTGCAATATATGCAGATATCTTTTTTTGTCAAACACATGCCACCTGACAAAAATATTTTTGTAGCATGGTATCATAAATTTTAAATATAGAAACTGTATAATCTGATGTAATCCAATACAGCAGTCCTGCAATAAATCAGACCTTTAACGTTGCTTCTTATAATCAATTTGTGTTGAGACTGTGAGAGTTGCTGATTCAAGACTTCTGTCCTTCTGCTAGTGGAGGTGTTGTGTTGGATTTTGTTACACTGAAAGCAGAACTGTAGAATAAGTTTGAGGTCTGTGATGTTTACTTTACAAGCAACCACTTTAATCAGCCAGAAGACGGAAATACATTTTAAAACCTTACAGAATATTTCCACTGTGGATAATTACGAGTGAGAACTAAAAAAGCCCAGACAGAAGATTGTTGTTTTCATTATACTGTGTTAATACATTCAGTAAGAAAGATGACAAACATTTCTCTACAGGCCGGATGGAGCCCAGGTCCCTTTACAAGGCCACCTCCCTGCCAACATGCCCCCCCACCCCACGTACATGCCCATGCAGATGCTGTGGTGGCAGCAGATGTATGCTCGCCACTACTACATGCAATAGTAAGTCAAATAAATGTGTCTGTAAATGTTAATACACTGATTAAATCTTTTTATTATCACTGCCATATCATGAATATTAATAATAGTGAGGACTTGTATCACCAAGAGGGGATTCTGTTGTGCTTTCTTCTAAATACCTGTGTCTTTCTGCCTCCTCTCTTCAGTCAAGCAGCTGTAGCCGCCTCTCAGCCTCCCACCACCTCCCCTCCTTCCTCTCCCTCCTCCTCACCCCATCGACCCGCCCAGCCCAATGAAGCCGTGCAGCCCCCGCTGGGGCCCAACCCGGCCCCCAACCCTTTACCAGAGAACCAGCCGGCCAACCCCAACATCCAGATGAATGCGCAGGGCGGGGCGGTGTTAAACGATGACGAGCTGAACCGCGATTGGCTGGACTGGTTGTACACAGTGTCTCGTGCCGGCGTCCTGCTCAGCATCGTTTACTTTTACTCCTCCTTTAGCCGCTTCGTCATGGTGGTTGGCGCCATGCTGCTTGTCTACCTGTGAGTCAGTTACATTTTTACATTTCTCACATTTACTTTAATTTGTATTCAGCTCAGTGCAGTTTGCTGAATGTGTTATTTTAAGGCAGAGCACCACTTTTGAAACATGTCGATTCACGTATTGATGTTGAAGATAAAAGCTTTAAACCCAAATTTAAGAGCATGTTTGTGTTTTTCCGCAGGCATCAGGCTGGTTGGTTCCCCTTCAGACCAGAGCAGCAGAACCTCAGAGGAGGAGAAAGGGCCAGAGCTCCTCAGGAGGAAGCAGAGAGACACCAGGACATACAGGAAATGGTTGGTTGGAGAATGTCTCTCAACCTTATTGCTGTGCCATCTTAAGCTCTGCAGGAACCATGTCCAACACGTTCCTTTTGAAGACAGACAGCTGCTAAATCAGATTTTTGTTGTTTCAAGTGAGATTTCCTAAATGAACAGAGAAGATTTATCTGCAAAGAGACACGGGGCCGTACCTTACACTGGGTGCAAAGTGTCACACAGTGCAGCACAACTGTCATTGCTTGTTTAAGATTGACTTATTTGTCATTTTCACGGCCAGCACCCAGTTCGTGTAAGTAGCAAATGTACTTGAGCCTATCTGTGGGCCCGTGGGTGGGTAGGTCTTAAAATGAGGTGTTGGCATATTGCTGTTTAGGGCAACAGAAAGTGATTGTGTCATTGACAGACAAAAACCTGGGGACAAATTCACAAATAATCTGAAAAAATTTAGCCTTAAAAACTTTTTGTAAGGAGTCCTAGCTTAGGAGTGATTTAGGAAAGTTCCCAGGGCAACTCTGAGCAAGGATGGGACAGAAACTTTCACCTTAGTGAGGAGGTGTGGTTGATCCTTTTGGTAGGAGTGATGCAGACACGGTGAAAGTGTTGTCATTGTTAGTGTGATCACTGCTGATGGAAGGTTGAGAGAAATTCAAGTCATCGCTGCTGCATGTTTCCAGTTTTCCACATATCATTGTGATCATTTAATATCTGGCGCTGTATTGTTGCTGTGTTGGGTGGGAAATGTGTGCGTATCCCCAATGAGATTGGCCACAAACATTATCTCCGCATGATCTAATCTGTAGCATTTAATTAACTCACTGTCCTTTAGTCTTTGGAGAATATTTCTCTGACCTCTTTGTGTTTCCTCCATTTTCTTCTCTGCTTAAGAAACCCTTCAGCCTTGTAATAGTCCTCCTCTCTCCTAACAGTTCTTCACCTTAGGAACTCTCTTTAGGGTAAAAAAAGTTTTACTTTTACAAGGAACTAGTCTTAACTTTAAGGGTAAATTCAAAGTAAATGTCACAATTCTAAGAATTTCCTTAGAATTTTGTCACGAGGAGCAACTCTTAGTACTGGGAAGCTTTGTGAATACGGCCCCTGGTCTCTGTCTAAAGAGCTCATTATTCAGATAGTAAGATGTGCCTACATAGAGGGGTTCACAAGGCACATACACTCTGTTGTTTACACACACAAGGACATGTGGATGAGTTGTGGGTGGGTAAAATAATAAATTGTTAATGAGTAAAATATTTATGACATCCTCTAAGATGTGACCATAGCAGAGAGCAGAACTGCTGTGTGACTCTGCATGAAGGGAGACACTGCACATTGACTCTCGAGGAGCAGCTTAACTTCACCAAGTATTTCAGAAGCTCAAGGTTTAGTTCTGTTTCTTTAGTCAAGTTTTAAGTTTTACTGCCTAAATGTCCCAAAGTATTTGCTGCAGTGACATCACTGCTCCTACTGCATTACTCTCAAAAGAAAACCACTCACTTCTCTGATTTATCTGCGGTGTAAGCAGCAGTGCACCAGGTGCAGGTGGGCTTTTAAAGGCAGTAAGAGTTGATACGTAAGTACAAACTCTGCCCCTTGCCCCATCTTACTTTGCGCCCAGATTATGTGCTGTTTAATTGGCAAAGGTGGAGTTGGACACGCCCTAAGTGCTGAAAATTAAACCAAAATATAATCATCATTGATAACTGCAATGATCAGATTACATGTCTGAATATATGTATTAATATGTACAGCATTACATTTCACTGTTTTCTGTCTGTCAAACCACGACTGTCTCCTCTCATCTGTGTCCCAGGAACGTCTGATGGACGAGGGGATAGAGGACGAAGACAGCGGTGAGGAAGGAGGTGGAGGCCCTGAGGACCCGGCTGCTGCAGCGCTCCCCGAACCAAGCTTCCTCACCACCGCGTGGTCCTTCATCAGCACCTTCTTCACCTCGCTCATCCCAGAGGGACGGCCCCACCCGGCTAACTAGGCAGACCCTACCCCTCTACCTGTCATACACCCCTCATCCCCCTGCCAGCAGGTACCGCTCTACAGAAGTATCACAATCCCCACCTTCATTTTTACTGTCCTAAATACCCCAAACCATCTTCAGATGCCCGCATATGTTCAAATCCCAGACCGCCAGGCCAGTCGGCAACAAACCTCCGACATGCTGCCAACAAGCAGGCAGGTATTTAAAACAGGCTCCTCTGAAGTTTGAGAGCAGATGCAGTGAGTTCTGCAGGATGGTAGGAGAATAAAGGAACATGTAGAAAGTCAATCTCACGTTGTGTTGATGGAGCTTCAGCAGTGAAAGTTATTTTTTTTTCTTTCATCGTTGGTGAATTAATGAGACGTGGCAAAGGTGAGTGACGCCAGAGGGAGCTGTCTTCCATTTTAAATAAGCAGTGATAAGGTCATGCTTTTTAAACTTTCCAATGATGGATGTGAATCAAAGAAAAGAAAACAAAACCATGAATCTCCCTAAAATGAGAAGGAGACGTGTGTCCTAACAAACCATGAAAAACCACATCCCCAAAGACATTCTCATGTGTGCACACGACGTGCACAAAGACATTGCAGCTACTGAAGCACATTGTTTTCCCACTTTGTGTATTTCAACATTATTTACACATGTAAGTATATGCATCTTTAATTCCTGAATATATGCTTTTTTGAATAAAAATCTTGCTGCGGTTCGACTCCTCTGTTGTGTTTTACTTCCCATGATTTAATCTGTAGTTACTCTCATGTCCTGCAGGTGGCGGTGTTTACACACAGATGTTCAGTGACTCAGTTGAGACGTGTTTGAAGAAGGTCTGATTGAAATCCTTGAATGGGACTTTAATGAATTGCCTTCATTCCACAATTGTTTGCACACCTTTATGATCTAATTTTTAATTTTTGTAAGTTATGCTTCTTTTATTAATCATATTTTCTTAATTCCAAAGTTGCTGTTGTGTCTTATTCTGGTATTTTAATGTTGTTTCCAGCGTTTAGCCAATGACATTGTGACTTTGTCATTGCTTAAAATATTTTAACTGCATTTATAGGTAAAGAAGTTGTAATAATACAGTTTGGTAGTTAACAAAAAAAGCAAGTTACAGAATGTGTCACATAAATTATAACAAATCCAAATAGAAAAAGCAAACTTGAGTTGATTTAAAAAAAAAATTAAGAAAAGAAATAAAGACAGATAAAATAAAATAAAAGTAACAGGGGGATGAACTGTGTGATGAAGGCATATTTCAATGCTACAGTTGGTAACTTTTGTGATGATTTTGGTCCATATTGACATGATGACATCACACAGTTGCTGCAGATTTGTCGGCTGCACATCCATGATGAGAATCTCCCGTTCCAGCACATCCCAAAGGTGCTCTATTGGACTGAGATCTGGTGACTGTGGAGGCCATTGGAGTACAGTGAACTCATTGTCATGTTTGAGATGATGTGAGCTTTGTGACATGGTGCGTTATCCTGCTGGAAGTAGCCATCAGAAGATGGGTACACTGTGGTCATAAAGGGATGGACACGCTCAGCAACAATACTCAGGTAGGCTGTGGTGTTTAAACCATGCTCAGTTGGTACTAAGAAAATCTCCCCCACACCATTACACCACCAGCAGCAGCCCGAACCGTTGATACATGCCTAAATGCATTGAGATACTCCCATGTGATTGGCTGATTACCTACTTGCATTAACCAGCAGTTGAGCAGGTGTACCTAATAAAGTGGCCAGTGAGAATTAGCCAATGATATCGGCCTGCTTATGTATCGGTCAGGTTCTCATATGAGCATGAAAGTTTTCCTGCACATGCTCAGTCGGGGCACTTCGACTGAGAGCAGGTGCTACAGTGCATCATCATCCCGTCCTCACAGGTGTCACACACTCTATCTCTCATCCCCATCTTCTCTCTGTTTACTTAATAAAGTCACTCTATCTCTGTGGCATGTGTCCAGCCCAACTGCTGCCTGTGCAAAGACAACGAGGCCTGATAGCAGGGAAACAGGAGAGAGCCGTCTGCATAACAAGGACTTATTATGATGATGAAATGTCCTACAAGCCCCCAAACACCCTCTTAAAGAAATCTCTCCCTCCGATAAGAAGAGTCCAAACCCGCAGAGAGAAAGAGAGAGGTGGGGGGATCCTAACCTGATTGGATCGGCGGCTCGGAGGGGGCGCGTGTAACGAAATCAAATGGCCGTCAAGCCGCTGTCATGCATAATTAATTGGGCCTTCTACGACCAACTACACAAAAATCCATGGTCATTTGATTAGGGGGTTTTGGAGGACTCTCTGAAGTGCATCGCTGTCTGAGCTGCTTCCCTGCTCACCTCTCTATCAGTGAGGTGAGTGTCAGAGTCTGCACGTTTTAACTTTAACATCCAACAGGGACAAAATTCAAACTCTCGTTAAAGCTCTTTTAAAACTCAAGGACATAAAATAACTACTTGATAAAGTCTGAGCAAAATGTGAGGCCTGTGTCTAACTGAAGGTCACTACAGTCTATGAACACACACCTGATAGTTTTCAGCAGGTGAAGTCAGTAAACACAGTCTTCCTTTACCACTGAGCTGCCCTTGAGCAAAGCACTTAGTCTCCCTATTTAATTTCTAACAACACAAAGAGTCCACAGTGCTTCTTCGGCACAGTGGTGCTTTGAGCTAACACGTCCAACCTTGAAGCAGATGGGCTACAGCAGCAGAAGATCACACCAGGTGCCACTCCTGTCAGCTAACAACAGGAAACTGAGGCTACAATTCACACGGGTTTTCTCACCAAAACTGGACAATAGAAGATTGGAAAAACCACATTCAGATGGAAGCATGGATCCATCCTGCCTTGTATCAACGCTTCAGGCTGCTGCTGGTGGTGTAATGGTGTGGGGGAGATTTTCTTAGTACCAACTGAGCATGGTTTAAACACCACAGCCTACCTGAGTATTGTTGCTGAGCGTGTCCATCCCTTTATGACCACAGTGTACCCATCTTCTGATGG